CTCCCCCCCCCCACTTCCTTCGCGTGCAGGTGCGGCAGGCGGTGACCTGTGTGGTGGGGGGCTGGCTGCTGGACCTGCGGGACCGCTACTCCTTCTTCCACAAGCTGATCCCGCTGTTGCTTAGCAACCTCGAGGACGACATCCCTGAGATCGCGTAAGTACGGAGCTCATGGTGGTGGCCGCCGCTCTGGGCGAGGCCTGGGCCGGCCGGGTGCGGGTCCCCGAGTTTCCGGGACCGTCAGGGGCCCCTCCGAAGTTGTCACTTACAGCAGCGGTGCCGTGTCTGCTGCGGAGTCCCTTCTGGAGGCCGCCTCGTCCCCTCTGTCCTGCTTGCTGTGGGATCGTGTGTCCCACGGGACGCGTCTGCGGCTTTTAAATAGTCGAGAGCTCCCGGTGCTTCGGGCACGTCAAGGAGTCCATCTGGGTTTAGCACCGTGAGCAGAGCCGTCAGAAGCCCTCGGAGTTCCCAGCGCCCTCGGGGGCGGACGTGGCTCCGGCCTTCCGCATGTCTGCCTGACACGTATGTTGTCCCACAGGCTCGCAGCCGCCAGCCTCTGGGAGAAGGTGGGCCTGCAGTGGCAGAGGGAGAACGAAGACGACCTCAAAGATAAGCTGGACTTCGCCTCGCCCCCTCCAGCCCACCACCCCTCTCCAGGTGAGTGTGGGCCGCCCGGGCCCGCACAGTAGAGCGTGCCGGAGACCCGGCCCAGGACACCTCCCTGGGGCCTTCCCCTCTGGGCCCGCTGCGGGTGTTGGGGATACGTCAGGCCGCGAAGCCGTGGGCGGCGGCTGCTGGCCGTGGCAGGAATCGTGGAAGCAGGCGGTGCTGCCACTTTACAAGAGAACCTGTGAACTGCACCCAAAATGCAGTTACAGGGGAGGAGCAGGGCCCGGGCCAGGGGCGCGCTCAGAACAGAGGCGCCCCCACAGCCTCCCTGTGGTTCCCTGCCACACCGCGAGCACACACGTGTTGTCGTCAGCGCGTCCCGGGCACGCGAGCCAGGCCGGGCGGAGCCACCCCCAGAGCCGTCCCTCCTCCCTGCCCCACGGACCCACGTGCCGAGCAGCGCTTTCCGCCGGGACGCGGCATTTCCTGCTGCGGTCTGTCTGCAGCGTGTCTCCTTCAAACACAACGCTGGCGAGGGCCACGGTGGTAAAGATGCGCGGTCGGTCGATAGCGGCCACGAGGAGCCCGCGGTGTGAGGGCCGCGCGGACACAGGTGCTTGCGCTTTGTGCCTGCCACGACGGGAGCTGCCCCCCAGCCCCCCCAGGCTCCCAGCCCCGTGACCCCTTCCGGAGTGTGCTCGGCTGGTACAGGGGAGATTACACAGGTCGTAGAAAGGGACAACTTCAGCGGCTGGCGGGGTTTTTCTGCCTCGGTAAAGCTTGACAGCGCGGCGTCTTTTTTTTTTTTTTT